ATCCATCCTTTACATACAGTCTATTTAAAACCCTGCAAGCAGGTAAACCGTCAGCATAGCCTCTCCCTGTGTGCGTCACACAAAGTTAAAACTTTGGGGTTTAAGGATTTGCTAAGGGTCCAGTTTTTCGGCGGTCCCTCTCACCCTCAGGTTGGTGTAGAACTCGTCCAGCACGAGGCTCATGGAGCGCGTCAGGTTGCTCACGTACGAGGTTTCCTGGTTCAAAGCGTCCTGGAAAGCCTCAAAGTCCTGCATCCACTCCACCGCAAAGCTGTGGTCAATGATGTCGGTCTGAAAAAGAAAACCACGAGAGGAAACCCCGTCATCAGAAACAACGAGTTCAGCAATGAGCCGGCAGCACGCCGAGCGTCCTCACCTTGTTCATGACCACGATGAAGGGCAGCTTCGTCTTGTAGAGGATACTGAAACACAAAGAATCAGAGGACTTAAACAAAAACTCTGCTGACTGTCCTGATGGGATGCTCAGGTATATTTAGTGACTCATTTCAGGTAAGAACAAGGCCTCCACAATCCCCTGGCTCTTATTTTGAAAGTCTAGCTGCTGTCGTGTATCCCAAACGGCAGGATGATCGAGAGCTTCTGAAGTATCTCTGCAGCCTGCAGCTGGACTCCAGCTCCACCGACTTGGACTGGAGATGGGGGAGGACACGCCCATTTGCTGCTACCAGAACTATGGTGACCAGCGGCGGTCTTAGAAAGTGGAGCTGGAGTCCGACTGCAAGGTGAAAGACTAACGGGAGGAGCAGCTGCTGTAAATCAGACCTCAGAGTCATCACGTCTCACAGAAAACATTAAAATGAATCTGATGTGGTTGGTGTTCGGTACCTGCAGGCGTACAGCATGTTGGACATGAAGGTGACGGGGTTGACGCTACGGGACGTGTCCATGACGTAGATCACCACACAGGGGAAGGATGACGCCTACAAACGCACGCAGACGTTCTAAACGACTCGTCTTTATTCATAACTTAGACATAAAAGCAGACGAGCAGACCCACCAGAGCTTCGGTGATGATGGTTCCAGACGCCGACCAGGTGAAGACTTCGATCTGACCTGGAGTGTCAATCAGGACGTACCTGGAGCCAGAGAGACACCTGCTCATTCATGCTGTTGTTCAGTATGATGTTTATACGCTGCTCAAAAACATTAAAGGAAACTTTAATCAGGATCAGCTGCTTCGCTGTGAATGAAATGAACAACAGGTGAAACAACACTGAGACAACCCTGAACAGGACTGGTTTTACTGGAGGACGTTTTTCCCCTTTTACTGTTTTTCAGGATTTTTGCATTTGGCTGTGGTCAGCATCAGGCCCGACCTGCACATCTTTACACAGATAGTCCGACTCCTGCAGGATGGCACATCCATTAGTGCTATTGAAGGTTTGCCGTGTCTCCCAGCAAAGTCTCAAGAGCATGGAGGAGATTCCAGGAAACAGGCTGTTACTCTAGGAGGGCAGCACTCCTAGTAACAGGAGGAATAGGATGAGAACGACCAGAACTACAAAGAGGCCTCCACTGAGACACCGCTGCGAATGTCCAACCAATCAGACACAGACGGGGGTCGTTGTCGGAGCCTATGCTGGTGCAGCCTCTTATCTCGAGACTATGCAGGCCGTCCCTAGAGGATGAAGGAACTGATCCATGCACTGCCCCGCATCGCCCGACCTAAATCACTAGAACTCCTCTGCGATGTTACGTTTCTCATCAGGACATCACCCCGGCGCCGTCAGGCATTCATGCAAACACGTGGGGGGATTCAAACTCCCGAGAATCATTTCTGAACTCCTGCAACGAAATCTGAACAAAACGGGCCTGCATCGATTTTTTTACTTTGATTTTGGGGCGCCTTTGAATTTAGCCCTGTGTAGGCGCATCATTTCAATTTCCATTACCCCTAACCTATTACCCTCAGTGAGATCTGCTGTGCTTTAAGGTGTTCCTTTAATATTTTGGAGTGTTGTGCATCACAACCACACACAGGATGCCGCTGGCGTCCCTCACAATCCTTAAAACATTTAGCTGCAAATAAGCAGCTACATACTGACCGGTGATTCTGTCGCTTCTTCTCGATGAACTGCATCACCTGAAGAAAACAAACACAAAGTCAGCATCTGAACTGTTTGTCTGGTGTGAACATTCGTACCGCGAGATGTTGAGATTTGTGAGTCACCTGATCAAAACGGGTGGCGAACAGGTTGAGTGACGTCACGATGCCGCCGTTGGGTCCGAGGCCGTACTGCTTCATCACCTCCTTGTAGTTCACCGTGTCCCTGATGTCTGAAAGCAGGAGGACAGACAGAGAAAACTAACAGACGCTGAAGATGACGTGGAGCTAAAAGTCTTTCTGGCTCTGTTTGAGTCACAAAAACACGTGAAGGTTTATTTGCTTTCGCTGTGATGTGTAATGCAAATATTAAATGCACTTCTGCAAATCCAGCATCACACATCAAGTTTTAAGTTCAGTTTGGTTTGAATGAGTAGCGTCCAGCAAACACATGGATCCTTACCGATGTTTGCAGGGAAAGGGACCTCGTGGACGGCGGGGTCCAGGTTGATGACATATGGAGGAGCTTTGAGGGAATGCAGGTGAGCCGTCAGCCTCTGCAGGAAACAAAAGTACTCAGATTACTCGAGACTGCGGCTCACTTCACAACAGGCAGACAAACAGGAAACACTGTTCATATGGAGGAAATGTTCTGAGGAAGAGGGGGGAAGCTGAAGATGTTGCTTAAAAAATCTTCATCTCTGAGCTCAGACTGAAGGAGCAGCAAACATCAGTCACAGGGTGTCATTGGTTTAATTTAGGGACTTTATTAAGCTATTTTAACATTTATTGGGTTATATACAATTTAGTAAAGTTTGACTCTACTCTATATTCTATTGTTTTCTACTTAAACGTGCTAACCCTATGTAATCCATACCTTGCTGACCTAACGTATATTCTATTGAGCTTTTATGCTTTCTCTAAGTTATTTTATTAAAGGCTGTTGTAGGATAACTAACCTGCTGCCTCTCCTACCTGACTGAAATCAAACTGATTTTGTTTGATGCTAATGGGTTTGTGCGCGGTTTGGGGGCTTCCTCGGTGTGCCACAGAAAGCTGGTTGGTACCTGAGTTTTAGCTGAATTAAATAATTAAAAAAGCTCTTCCTCCTCCTCTGATGTAAACCTGCTCACACACCGGTACCTGTCGCTGCTCGTTTATTTACCTTTCGCTCTCTCTGAAGAAGCTAACTCATGCGGCTAGCTGCGTTAGCCGCTAAGGGACCGGGACTCACCTGGACGAAGGTGGTTTTCCCGGAGCCCGCCATGCCGAGCACGATGAGACACACGGGTTTGTCCCCGGCAGCAGCTCCCGGGACCCCGCTGCCACCTGCCGTCGCCGAACTGCCCCGGGTCTCCGGGAAAGCCGCATCAGTGCCGGGACAATCCGCCGCCGCTGCCATGATGCTGGAGGGATATTATAGTAACCGGCTGCCGTCCACACGCAGCCGCTGTCGTAAAATGGAAACGCGGCGTTCAAAACGAAAGGCAGAAGGCAGCAGCGTGTTTAATAAACCACGATGAAAACACAAGGAAACTTTATTAGAATATTTTACAGATAAATTAATATAAATAAATAAAAACACGTGACTGCAGAGAGTAAAATATTTCTACTGTTCACGGGTCTTAAAAAATTAGAAATATTACGTTTAGTAAATTTTAGTAGTTTATAATTTATTAGTAACACAGTATATAAATAATTAATCATTTCTATATTATATATTTCTGTATTTTAAAAGAATATTGGCTTTACTAGTTTTATGTTTTGCAAATATTTTAAATAATTAATTTTAATATACGTAACTGGAATTTTCACATGTATCACTAACACTTCCTTTTTTTAAAAAATTATAAACCAATAAATACTTATTTTTCTCATTATAGTCTAGAAATATTCTGAAATTTTACTTTCCTTGAATAAAACTCTAAAAGAAGTAGATTCTTCTCAAATGAAAATTGCTAGAAGTGTGGTGGATGATTTTCACAATAAGACCTCTGTCGTGTCTCCTCCAGCAGTGGATAAAACTTCAACATAATAAACATTTGCATAAAAACAGATTTTAAATGTGTGGATTTAAAATTTTGCCACATGAATGAATGTGAACGAGGTAAAACAGCCAGCCTTTTCAGTCATTTTATTGCAAATGAAAAATGTGAGCATACATGTAATTAAATCTTCAGTGCAGATTAAAAGTACAATACACCATCCATAAGCAAAAGCCTCATAATAATCAGACGATAACACAATCTAACTCAGACAAGGGCACCAGTCATTCAATATAATAATCAAAGTTAAGAAGGAGAAATAATGAGACCAAAAATATGAAATAATAGGATACGACAAAAAAGAAAACATCAAAAGTCAGAGTCAGCTATCAAAAGAATTTAAAACATCAAAAAGTGTAAAAGATTTCTGATTATGATGCAAAGCAGAAATTCATTTTCCAGTTTAAACCAAAACTACAACAATGAAAGATTTAGAAATCTGACGACGAGCACGTTCAGGAGCTGCAGCTGAGCAGGATCCAGACTCACCGAGCCATCACTGCTTTTCTTATCTGTAGAACATTGTGATATGCAGCTGTCTTCTATCCAGCGGTCTGTCCTTGACTTTTTGTTTTCTAAATGAGAAACTCTCTCCAAAATCTGTTCTGCAGCGTTTCACTGCAGGTCGCAGTCGGACGTGAAATACAGCAGTGAGCTCTCACAATCACAGTAAACTGAAACTAGGTCTTCAAGAATATTTTACTCGACTGAAGTAAAACTAAAAACACCGCCTGAAATGATCCTGTGCTTCCTTAAGTGAAGTTGAGATCGACCCATTTAGATCATTTCATATTTTTATTGTTTTAGTCTAGAGCAGCTTTGCATGAGTCACTATTAAAAATAATCCTTCTTTACCTTCTGCTGAACCTGGATGTAGCCACTGTGATGTCACCCTTTGTTTTCAGCTTGTGGAATTGAACAAATTATTTTACTGTTACAATATAATCTACAGCATTAACATTGCATTAACAGTATAACAGATGGCTTTAAGACGGCATTAAGATGTTTAAACATACAGGCGCCATATTAACCTTTATTCCAGGTGCAGTTATAACTATTTTTATACACACCCTGCAGTTTGTGCTTCTTAAAGAGTTGAAGCTCAGTCAGTTAATTGAAGGTCAGAAGCTTCGTCCGGCGCTAGGTCCAGACCATCTATTGTGTAAGTGACTTAGAGCTACGGAAGGACACGCTTACAAAACATACATGCCATGTTATTCATTATTATCTTTTATTCGTTTATATCCTTTTTATTAAGCTTTGAGTAGTGGCATTTGATTAAAGCATTTATTCAATATATTCCGTATATAGTTTCAGTTAGGTTGTTACACATATGAGAGTGGCTTCTGTCTGGTAAGAGGTCATGAGTTTAGTTGGCGAGGTGAGACAGAGGGCATTTGAGGTCGAGACACACACACACATAGTAGGTAGACTCATTTCTAGGTAAGAGTTTGCAAGCTTGTAACTGCTTTCTGGAGACGGAGAAAATGTTCTTTTCAAATGTGTCAGAAGTCGTTAACAGAACATTTGTGGTTTTGAAACTTATGCATGTGAGGTATCTGCTTAACGCAACAGGGTGCGTAATAATACCCCGATGCTATAAAACAACTGCTTGTGTATTGTTAGGAGGAGATCGATGCTGATTGTGTGACAGCGGAGGAGCAATAATGTCAGTGACACAAACACATCGATGGGACCGTGGGCACGAAGTGGGCTGTATTATTACTGTGGGCATAACACTCTTTTGGTTCGTGTTCCTATGGGAAGTGTAGGAACGTGCGCAATGGTGAGATTAGGAGCTCCACTTGTGCTAATTGGGGGCAGAGCAAAGGTTATACCAGAAAGAAACACACGCACATTGGCAGCCAGGCGCAAGAGACACATTTTGGCAAAGAGAGGGACCGAGGGAGCACATGCCTACGACCCTACGATGAATTCACCCACCTGGATTGATTCCATAGGAGTTCCCAATGAATATAAATTAGCAGACCAAATAGCTTCAGGATTTGAAAGTATGTTCACATGGATAACACCGAATAAAAATGTTGACCGCATAAACTATGTCCATTTTAATGTGCTGAGGCTCTCTAACCTGACCAGGGACGCCATGGAGGGGCTCGCGGAACAATTGGGTCCGACCTCGTTGATGGCAGTGCAAAACAAGATGGCCCTTGACATGTTGTTGGCGGAGAAGGGAGCGTGTGTGCCGTGTTTGGTGACCAGCGTTGTTTTGTATCCCTCCTCGATATCTGAAACCGTAACAAGCTTCAAGCTTCATCATTATTCTTTTCACAGTCGTCGTTTGTTTGTATCAGGAGTGTGCTGAGGTATCATCCAGCACTCCTTGTTTGATTGCCAAATTGCATGCGTTTACTAAAGTTTCAAACTGGAGCTCCGCCTCCTTGGACGCTCTGTTAGTACAGTGACCTCACAGCAGCCATATTATTGGTCACATGATGTCATTAAAAATGCTCCACAAGTCTCCAACAGCACAAAGCTCAGTTACTCACTCAAAAACAATCCATTGTGAACTGTACTCGAGTGAGTACTGACGTCGGGCTCTGCACTCTCTGGCCCAGTGTCCAAACTTGCTGCAGTAAAAGCAGCGATCTTTTCTCTTATTCCTGCGAGTCTGGCTGCTTCGAGGTGGCTCGGGCAGTGCCAGCACATCTGATCTCCACTCTCCATGAGTTACAGATGGCTGATGTTTTGAGGTAAACGTGCCCTTTAACTCCATGTTTTCTAAAATAAATTTGATCTTGGAAAAAGTAAAAGTTTCCCACTCAACATGATCCTTCAAAAGCTTCGCCACATGAGGCTGCAACTTATCTACAAGGTGAAGATTAAACAGAAAAGCATTTGCTTCACTCATAGTGGAATTCCACAGTCGGTGGAAACGTTCAGTGAAATCTGTCACCGACTCTCCGGGTTTCTGAAGAATCAACCAGGGGGGCACAAATTCAGGGTCATTCCAGGCTGCATTTTTAATCGAGGTGGCGCACTGTGTGTCGAGCCAGGCCGTCATATCACGAGTACGTCGCCACCTGGCCTCGCCATCCACTCCTGGCAAGTCAAAATGTTCCTTCACATTTTCCCACTTGTAGTTATAAACTAACTTCAGCAACTTTTTGAGCTCAGCAGGAGACGGCTGATACACCATGCAGGTGAAACGCAGCCACCTGTGGAAGTCGCTCGGTGTTTTGATGGGGTCAGGAGCATCTCTTAACAGACCGTAGAGCTCGCCTGGGGTCCATACGGCCTTTATGCCATCCACAAATTCTCTGCCGCTGCTCTGCTTTTCTGCCGTAGACCAGGTCGCGACAGGCGACTCTTTCGGAAGACTTCCCTCGTCCGTTTGCGTGCCTTTTTCCTCAGGCGACTCTTTCAGGAGACTTCCCTCGTCCGTTTGCGTGCCTTTTTCCTCAGGCGACTCTTTCAGGAGACTTCCCTCGTCCGTTTGCGTGCCTTTTTCCTCTTGCGTTTTAACTTGTGGAATATTTGGCGGCGGTTGTAGTACTTTTTCAGCTTCGGGACTTTGGTGCCCCTGAAGGAGCCAGTCATAGTTTAGCCCCACTTGTTGCAGCTCCTTGAATAACTTCTCCTCACTCGGGTGAGGTTGTACCAGTGTCACAGCAGAAGGAAATTCCTTTCGCTGCTCTGGTCTTTTGGGACCTTCAAATGTTTTCTGCCTCAGACGCTTTGAGCTGTTGGACCCCATGATGCTCGCTCTCGGTGTGCAGTGAAGGCTGATTAACACTCCAGGTGTTTATCTGAAACAGAATAAATGTTGATCAGTTTTGGAAACACACTCGTGATGTTCAGATTGGCACAGTTAACGCATAAATAAAGGCCGTCTCATCATCATCATCATCATCATCATAACCTGTAACCCCCATCGTGTAAAATGACCAATTAACATCCAGAAAACTTTCATCATGCCTGATATATTATGACATCATCATGACTAATATGTGTGTGCTGCATCTAAAGTCAAAGGTCACTCTTTCAAGGATGCCAATATTCACATTTTGGACAGAGAAGACGGAGTGAACGACCCTCTTTAGACGGAGGGCGGAGCTTATGACACCGACTGTCTGACGTTCTTATGGAGAACAGTAGAGTTTAAATACCAGGGACTCTCCACCGTTTGTTTTTACAGCTGCAGAAGCTTCTCGGATGAAACTTAAAGAAGTCCAGTGGCTTTTCTTTCCAAGAAGCAGATCTCTGCAAAGACCAGATTATGAACAAAGTGACAAAATTATTGGAACTTCCGATTATTGTGTCTTTGAGTGTTTTAATACCTTTGGAAAAGGGCGAAATAACAGTGCAGGGTCCAACGTCATGTGGCTAACAACGAGGAGCTGTGAAGGCAGGACAGAGAGAAGTTATCGCTCTGTTGTTGAACACAAACATGCAAAGCATATCTTATCCCACACAGACAGCTTTCTGTGAGCACGCTCAACTGAAGCCTTAAACTTGTCCACTACAAACTCAGGCCGTGACAAGTAGTCTGATGACAGCAGCATGAAACTAATTCAGAACATTCGACGCGGTTTGCGATTGAGAGAAGAGAAAGAGGAAGTAAAGGATGCAGATTTACTGAAATAAAGGCACTTACAACCTGCTGTAAGAAATACTACACCAGTACTCTTAGTCGAGTAAGTGAAAAAGTCTGAAGCCACCATTCATTTCTTTTGGAAGGTGTTTCAGAGAGAAACTGGCCATATTTTATCGTACCACCCACGACTCAGGGCAGAGTTAGCTTCAGTTTATATGATCTGTAATTATGTTTACCTACAAATACTTAAAGGTCAATTAATATTAATAACTGTACTACAAATAAATGCAAGTCTTTGGTTGGAAACAAAAAAATGTATAGAAATTGCCTTCCTACCTGTACATTTATCCTTTCTGAGGTCCTGATGAGTAAAGTGAGCGAGGACGTTCAGAGAAGACAAAGGCTGATCTCATCTCAGCGTGAGGCTGGTAGATCCACACGACTGCTGTCGTTTCCTCTTCTAAAACACAGTAACAGAAAGTTTGTCCTCAGAGCGGAGCAGATGTGGACAAGCGTGAATTAAAAAGTGGGTTCGGTTTGGCCTGAAATTTGTCTGTTTGCAGCACGGAGCCTCTGATGAAGACGCCTGCTGGAAAGTTACAGGGGCGGAGCTCGAACTGAGAGGCTGAACCATGAAACTATGAAAGTACAGATATAGAAATGAGTTGAACAGACTTTTGGATATCTGCAGTTCCTTTCATGCATGGGAAATCTGTTTTTTATTTTTTAAATAAAAACTGCAAACCATGAGGTGACAAACTGATATATGGTCCCTGTGCTGCAGGCGCAGCTGAGGGGCAGTGAACGCCTTTGCTCTGTTTTCACAGGCTCCAAAACATTCCCAGCCTAAACTAGTTTGCAGTGTCTGCCTTTACAGATGGATTCTGTGCATTATTTTGTTTCATACCAAGATTCAGCTTTCGTTCGCCTACGTCCTGTTTTATATCCTTAACCCTTTGACCCCTGCGTGGAATACATGTGCAGACATGCAGGACCTCCACAAAAAACACAGAGTCCCGTTTCCCCTCTTTGCCCAGCGCCTCTCAACAGATACGACTTGTTTGCCTCTCCTGCTACATATTTCACGTTGAACTGTGTTTGACCTGCAAAGGGGACTGGATTTCAGTACAAGTGACGTCTGTGATCTTTGTTTAGTGACGGGTGTAGAAAAAAAGTTTCACCTTCAGTTTGTTTAAAGTTTAAAGCGAGGGGCGAGTCCTGCGCTGCAGCTGCTGAGATGAAAACAGGAAGAACTGTTAACTGACTCAAATATGTCACCCTGTTATTTTTAAAGTGACTTTTTGTGACTTCCTTCTGCAAATTCTAAAATATTTTAATTCAATTCAATTCAGTTTTATTTATACACAACAACAGTCGCCTCAGATCTGAGCGCTTTATACTGTAAGCTAGACTCTACAATAATACATACAGAGAAAAACCCAACAACCATATGACCCCCTGTGAGCAGCACTTTGGCGACAGTGGGAAGGAAAAACTCGCTTTTAACAGGAAGAAACCTCCAGCAGAACCAGGCTCAGGGAAGGGCGGGGCCATCTGCCTGTATTTTACCAGGTGCCTTTCATCTAAACTAGTTCAGTAGCTCAGTAATAAAACAGCAATAGTTGGATAATAATGTGAAAATAAAGACTCAGTGGGGTGTGGAGATTCAGAGACCTGATTTTTAGACCGATTACGTCACAGAGACGCGACGAAGGCTGTCCAACTTCGAAGACTCTTCCAAATGCAGCCAACAAGTGCGTCCTCCTTTTCCCAGATTTGAAGGATGTGTCGGGTGTTTCCTTCGTGGCCCAACCTATCCCATAATTCATAGCGCTGCCCAGCCGATTCCAGTTTCCAACAATGGCGGCAGCTACTTAATTTTAATATTACTCTAATTACTCTTTCTGGAGAGAGAAAAGAAACTGCTGTACGTAGAGCAGCGGTCTCCAACCTTTTTTGCGCCACGGACCGGTTTATGCCCGACAATATTTTCA